AAGGGACCTGAGTTAGGGAGGCAGTAGGATCAACCGCAGCAGGGTTCTACAGGGATCGCCCTTGGACCTTACGTTACAGGGGTCAGTTTCAGGGAAGTATGGTGAGAACACCCCATATCCTTGTTCGAGCCTATCCTGCATGACTATTGTTGTAAGGCAGCATCTGCATAACCAATAGCTGCTTGCAATCCTCTCTGACCGGTAGGTAGGTGTGTTTCACAACGTAAGCAGTGCGACAAACTTTTGTTCTGAAACACAACTCGCTGACATGCTGCATGCCAACCCAACCCAAAGCCTGTAACCCGGGTTTAGGGTGCGCTCCAAAGCCCTAAACCTTCAACTCTATGTACCGGTTCAGCCATACTTGGAGGCCCAGGGTCATTCTAAGCTACGTCTAGTTGCAGTAGATTCTAGCTATAGTCACACAAGGAATTTAAGGGTACCTGGCGTATACTTGGTTGTAATTACCCTGGGCGTCCAGGTATACCCCGGGTATGCGAGACCCCAAACCCTACAGCCTAATCCCTAGACCCTACATGTCCCGACCCCTAGCCTGAAACCCTAAAGCCTAAATCCTAAACCCTATTAACCGTATTGACCCTTTTAACCCTAAACACTAGGTATGCGAGCCTCCTGTCCGCTTTCCGGCCCTGCGTCGACCTCGTTCTGTCGGGCCTCACGGCGCGGGACGCTAAGGACGCGACGCGAAGGATCTTCAGATCCTTGCAGGACACGGTTTTGGGGGTTGCCCACCCAATCATGGGCACCACAAGGGTCTACTGTAGGTATACTAAGGCCCCACTAACTCCACATTAAGAATTAAGAAGCTGTTACTATAGGGGGGGTTGACCTAAGTTTAGGGTTCAGTCCATGGATATGGTTTAGGGCCTGTCACGCTGGCACTGGTGATGCATAGAATAATCCCTCGAAGTCCCTTTTAGCAGCGCCCATATCCACTTGTAGGGGAAACAACGGACATCAATTACGAGCCCAGAGCTTCAGATTTGGCATGTAAATCCTCACCTGAACCTCTGCATGCTATTATGTTACAGTCTCTAATAGCTCCGTACCATCAGAGGCAACACCAATGTCTCGTAGTTGCTCTAGGTTCAGGACCTCAAGACTAGGGTGATAATTTGCGCCCTTTGAGATTCAGGTGGTTTAGATTTCAGGGTGCCCTTGTTTGAAACCCCCTGGGGGCACCCTAGGAATTGCAGTCAGCATTCCTAGTCTCCCCCCGACCGACATGATATTCCGCAGTCTTAGGGCTTAGAGAGCACTAACGCAACAGGACTTTCGTAACCCCAATCCCTAATATTAGGATCCTATGACGTAGAAGGCCCGATGACCCGATGATGATCATTCGATTTCAATCGGGGTTTGTTTTGGTACCAAAACCCGGTCATGACCCATGGGAGAGGAAGAATGTAGCTTCCATGTTCGGGGGGGCTTGAAAAAGGTGGTTCGCAGCAGCGCACTGGGTCATAGCCCCCCTTAAGTAGATAGAATGTGGCTTTGGGTATATTACAATAAGATCCCCAGATGCCCCATACTCTATCTACTTAAGGGGGACTATACCCCTAAACCCTCAACCCACAATAGTAGTTTTCATTTTCATTTCCATCATCCCATTATAACCCCCATTTTCTATCACTTTAAGGGGGACTATACGTTGCACGGCTAAGGGTAAACGGCTGCTAGGTTCTGTTCAGCAGTTTGGTATTTGCTGATCTGTGGAACACAGGCCTATTGCGTGCTCCCATGCTCTAAGCAATCCTACGCCCCAAACCCTGATCCCCGATTAGGGTTTAGGAATTTGATCCCCAATACTGGAAAGGGAAATGAACAAGAAAGATGGAAAATGAATTTGAGGATTATATAGGCGTTCAGAGGGACGATTGCCAATACTTCACTTAGATACATTCAAAACAACTTTGGCAATTATCTAGGCGCCTGTAGCACACAGGGCCAGGCATGAGTTCCCGGGTCCGCACTGCCATCTTATCCGCACTGTTAGCATCAGATTTTGCACGCCAACGTGGATCATGGCAGAGACAGAGCTTAGTGTAAGATGAGCCTAAATAGTAGTAGGGTTCCGGATAAGGCCTTGCTATACTCATAGAAGGAGCCGTGAATGCTCCGACATAATGTTGGTAATGATTCAGTCCTCGACATGACAGTAAGAATTGCCATCATAAGAGAAGCTCCAATGCGGAGGATAATGCACCTAACGAGTCCATCCGTGTCCTTCTGCAGAGGGTCGCTGCCGCTTACTTGCATGCAGCTTCCACGATCCGTTCCATAACATGAGCTCTTGCTGCACAACATGCTGCGCAACATGCTGCACAGTTGTGTATGCCTGAGCCCAGTATTGTACATGACTTAAGTTGTGATTGCAATGACACCTCCAAAGTTTTCATGTACAGATGCACAAGAAAATGGAAACCGGCTCTGCGATATGTGAACTTCCGTGTTTTCTCCTGCAAAATCAGAAAGGAAATAGACAACTCTATATTTTAGTGTGTCGTAGGGGCTGCTTTCTTTTTTTTTTTGCTGTGGTTTTTTCCGTATGCTCGGCAAGTTGTGTTTACGTAGGTAGTTCATTTTGTGCGTCAAAGGCTGGCATGGTTCTTGAGTTTATGTCGTGGTTTTTGCATTTTTGCTGGGGGTGCGGATTCTTATGCTGCTGTGTTGTTGAATCCAATCCGCCATGTCTTCTTCTTATGCTAAGGAGTCTTTCTCTATGTTTGGGCTGTTTGTTCGGAACCACGGCGACAGAACGTTTTCATTTCGTGAGTGCACACTACCCAGCCCAACCGGGTGGCATTACAACAGTCGTGGCATGGCCAATATTTTTGTCCCATGTTCTCAAACAGCTATTGTATAATAACTTATAGTATAGGGTATCTCACGCTGACTTCGAAATCATATAGGTCATTACTCACGCCGCCGGTACCCTTGTTTTTTACAAGATCTGGCTCGTACACCTGGTTGCAATGCTTTATTGCAAGGAAGGGAAAGAGCCGACATCGCTGTTGGTCAAGACTGGCATCCTTGAGCCTCAAGGAAGCCACACCACCACACCACGACACCACACCGCCACACACAACACCACGCCGTGCAGCGCCGCGCCACACAACACCACAGCACGCCACACCATTTCATGCAAACTGTGAGCGTTACCACGAAAAGTATGCTGGTGCTCTGTGCGCGGGACCGCTTGAGCTTGAGGGAGGCGGCCACGTCTTGAACCACGCAGCGCGCAAGCGGTACGGTACTTCCAGGACCATGTCATAGTGTGTGAAGACCATTGGGTCAATGCCCACTGGCCTCAGAGCGCCAGGGCGAGTACATCTACACATTTTGCACATGCGCCGACTCAAGTTCTCAATGCACAGTGTCAGCATGAACAGTATGGTGATGCTCTGTGTGTGTATGGGGTGGGGGGGGGGGGCGCATAAGGAATAACACGGTCGTCTTAGTCCTCCTCGTCGTTGTCGTAGTCGTCGCAGTAGTCGTTGTGGTGGTGGTGGTAGTAGTAGTAGTAGTAGTCGTCGTGGTGGTGGTGGTGGCGGCGGCGGCGGCGATGGTCAAGGGGGGGGGGGGTTGGCGGCGGTGGTTGCGGTGGTTGCGGTGGTGGTGGTAGCAGCTGCAGGAGTAGGAGCATGAGTAGGAGTTTCTGTTAGCACGCGCAGCGGCAGTGGTAGCAGTAGCACCTAAATCTTAACCCTCAAGCCAAGAATAGATAGAAATTGTGCATGGCCACAAAGCAAAATTCAAAACCCTGCCAAATACTTTGCTCAAAGCTCAGGACCTCAGGACATAAACCCCAAAACAACTTCTATGAATACCGATCCTAAACCTTAACCCCTAAACCCTTGAAACTCATAAGTCGTAAGGATGCTGCAGATCCCTGGACCTATTTGGCTGACCAGACAAGGGCAGGCTTTTCAATTGGGAGCCGATTGGCCGCTTGCCCGCAGCGAAATATCATGGGGAAATATCATGGGGTTACCCTCATGGGCTTATTAAGGTTTGTTACGGCTCATTCGGCCTTATTCGTGTGTGTGTGTGTGTGTGTGTGGTGGGTGGAGGCATATTGGGAGGGCTCTCGTTAGTCCTGTTTTCCGAGACTATTGGGTTCCTTTGTGGGACTCACCGCATTAAAGCTTGTAGTCAATATTTGGACTTTTGTTTATGGAAGGTACAATATGGAGGCTTTCAAAGCAGGGATGCGAAGGTGAGGGGGCGGGTTCTCGTGGAGAATGTGAGGATTGCTTCAGAACTGCCTATATAATATCCCTGCAGCAATGAAGGAGCAAAGAGGCAGCGCTGTAGTACGCGTAGCATGAAGAGCTGTGTATCCAAAGAAACCCTCGAAGAGATCCAGCAGAAATACATATATATATATGTGTGTGTGTGTGTGTATTCTCATGCATATTGAAATGTATCACAGGTGGTGTTTATCATGGTTTTTGGTGAGTGTATTTCGGGTTCCTTCGGAGTATGGGTGAGTGTATAGATTTTGTATACAAATACACGTGATGTGCAAGTTTCTCTGGATGGTAGTAGAGGCGGCTATTGCTGACGATGGGTGTTTGTTTTTCGAAACATACCACATAAGCTATAGTCTAAACTCCTAGTGTACCCCTGCCTAACCCAATAGTTGTCGCCTAGATAATTCCCTTTATAACCCCCTTTCAGGAGCTGAGACTCTAAAGTAATATGTACGAATATTCTGGTCCTGGATTTTTTGTGTAGTTCTGGTTCCGGGTACTTCAAATGAACCTCAAAGTGGTTTTGGTAGTTTTTCAGGCTATACTTATTCGCCCCTGTAGCAATGCATGTTGAGTGTTCTTTTCCATTTGTTTCTTCATTGCATCGGACCCAAACCCTAAATCCCGGATGCCATCTCTAAGCCTTGGGCCCTACCCCCTAAACCTTCAATCCTGAACCGCAAGCCCCTGTAGTAAACACGAACAGCTCGGATCGTTTTTTAGGTGGTCGAACCTGCGCTGACGAAGCAGATTCTTCCGAAGCTCGGCTCATACACGGTTGAGGGCAAGGTTTTGGGACTTAGGTTTAGGGTTTAGGATTTAAGGTCTTAAGGGTTTAGGGTAAGGTCTTAGGATCTGGGGTTTAGGGTCTTCAGGGTTTAGGATAAGGTCTTAGGATCTGGGGTTTGGGGTCTTCAGGGTTTAGGGTAATGTCTTAGGGTCTAAGGTTTTGGGCAAGGTTTAGGAAGGGCGAGTCCGAGTTAGACCGGATCATATCCTGCAGTCTCTTCTACTTGCAACACGAGTTTCTTGCAACATACCTAAGCTGGTGTTTAAATTACATGAAATTTTAGGAATCTCTAATTTCATGAGCCTATCAGATAAACAGTAAATACCGCCCATACCGGCAAGCCGTCTGCATAGGCGCACAAACTATCAGTGAAATTGAGAAAGGTAGTCAGGCCCCTCACTATTTCTAGGTTCAAGCACATAGCATCACTTGGATACAAAGCGTAGGCCAGCAGGGGCAGTTGAGGTGGATGAAAGGCGCTAGAGGTTTGGTTTAGCTTTATTTCAAGCTGCCGATTTAGAAGAAAATCTAGAGGCACTTCTGTAAAGGGCCCAAAATCGCGAATAAAACCATGACCATGTACAAAGCCTGACGGAGCCCCACTTTTTCGAAAAATCCAAGAGTTCGTGCGAGCAGTCCGGGACTTGAGGAAGCTTGAGCAATGTACTTACTGGGGTCTGATCTGTCTCCAGCCAGGGGGTTTGTCCTGAGCTGTGTGCCTTCGCCTAAATCCTAAACCCTAGACCCCAAACTGGCAAAATCCCTAAACCAATCAAGAGCGGGTTGCGCATGGCCGTATCCAAATGCCCAGTGATCTTCGCGACTATCTCGGGACCAGCTGGCGTTTGCTGTGAAGGTTCACTGCCCTCGTAGTTTCGTAGTGAAACCGATTCGTCAACAATTCTGACAGTCTCTAATGCACAGCTTGGATCGTTCTCCTTTTACTAACTGCTGATGATTACCACAAGAAATACTAAGATATAGGAGTTATGATGGAATTTCATAAGCTCAACTAAGGGTTGTTGCGGTGAGGGAGAGTGACCCACAGTAATCGCTTTTCCTTCATATACAAACTTCCCGAATATTAGCCAAAATTTCAGGGGCCTAAATTTTCCGAAGATCACTTTTAAAAGGGGAAGACGAGTTGTTGAAAAGGGGCCACTGAATAATGAGTTAGGGGGGTTCGACGGATATTAAATTGAGTAAGTACGTGATTGATTAACAAAGCTACTCATTAAATGAATGCATGGATTTAGAAGCCCTTTCAATTCGCTCCATCCCCACCCCTCCGCCCCTCCTCGCATTAAACATCTTTTCGGGCCCGGGATTATTTAATATCAGGGGCAGGCAGGGGAGGGACGTTGTTTAATATTAGGGGGAAGCGATTATGACCCAGAAAGGATGGATCTCGCAATCTCAAGCTCTAAACGTTTGAAGGAGCCCTACAAAACCCTACAAACCCTTGATCCTAAGCCCGAAGCCCCGAGCTTACACTCTAAACCCTAAGCCCTGAAGTCCTTAACCCTAAACTCCTAGCACGTCTTCGTCAGACACAGGGCCCAGTGATGAAAATCAGATCAAAGGGCCCCGCCTGAGGACTACAATAGGGGTTTGGGGATTAAGGTTTGGGGTTCTTGGTTTCGGGTTGAGGATTGAGGGTTTGGGCTTTTAGTCACGCTTGCAAAAAGGACTTGGGACTTAGAGTCTAAGCATCTGTCTGTTTGAGAAACTCGCAGTGGGAGGCAACGGCTTCCCCCAAACATACACTTCCCCCGTATTATCCATAACCCCTAACCCCCTAACATTTAATGTTCCCCATACAGTATAGTATACCACAATGAAAGAATCCATGTGTGTGGGGGGGGGGGAAGGTAGGAGTTTCAGTGAATATGAAGATACTAGATCGGAATGTTTAATAGTAGGAGGCGGATGGTTTTAATTTCACGGGAAAGGCCACGTCGCGGCCACAGGTAAGGAGCAGGAACGTGCTACCGGCTTCCCGTAGCCTCCGTGAGAGGCCCGCAAGAGAGCGAGAACGAGGGTCTGGTTTAGTGGGAACCTGAGCCCATTATTGTTTTGGTTATTACTACTAAACCAGTTTCTGATATGTATGTGCGAATATGTAACCCCTCCCCCACCTTTAGGAACTCCATAAACTAACCCTTAGCCCTTCTACTTTGTACGCTATGCCTCATAAGCATTGAACTTAGGCCTTCTACTAGTGTTTAGGGCTTAGGGTTTTACATCCCAAGCTTAGGCATTCCAACTCCATTGTGAGCCATCTGCCTTCCATCTACACGCGGCTCTCCATCCTTGGCCCTCATGTTCCAAGCTACTTGGGCCTTTATGTTAATGGGAAAGGTTTAGGGTTCAGGGTTCTAGTGGATGTATGCGTATATACATATGTATACATATTGTTTGAATGTGTATATTCACAGGGTTTTCTAGGCTTATTTGGGGTTATGTAAGTGTGTTTCGGGTTTAGACCCTGATGAGTTTAGGATTTAGGGTATTGGGGTTTAGGGTTTGGGGGATCAAGGTGTGCCTTGCTACCCCCTCGCCAGCTTCCTTAATCAGCCTTAAATTCCCAGCCCCAATTATCTTTGAATAGACGGAAACCCTGGTGAAGAGGGAACCTAGATGGGTATCACTTGACTCCAGACCTTTGAGCCCTAGCTTCCTATTCCGTGCCGCCTCAATCCTGTCGCTTCCTATCAGCATGATCGCTTGCAACCAGACCTACCCCCGCCGCGGCCCTGGTTGAGGAAGCTACCACGTACGGCGAAACCAGAGCAAAATCAACGTCGAGGCGGCAAAAATGGCCTCCACGAGCTCTGTTACAGAAGAGGAGGCGGCAAGAGAAGGATGTCCGCCGGTCTTCGCGCATCGAAATTGGGGAGAAGAATAGTCGGCTCGATTCGTGGCCATATGGCAGAAGGGACAGGACCTCCCAATTTTCAACATTTCCACTCCAAGTTGCAGCCCTAAACCCTAAACCCTATCCTAACTTGCAAGACTTGAAGGGAGGTGCTGGGATCCGGCCCGCCCATGCCAATTGATTGCCCGAGCAAATAAGCTTGGGCACCTGTAGAATGTACAGGACTAGGGGATGCTGTAAACCCCTAGTATCCCCTTAAGTAGATAGAGTATGGGGCAGATCGGGATCTTATTGTAATAGACCCAAAGCCATATTCTATCTACTTAAGGGGGACTGTAAGCCCTAAACCGCGCGACGTTTAGGGTTTAGAGCCCGCAGGCAGGGCTTGAAACCCAGAGGTTGCTGACTGGATTTGGGGGAAGAACGTGCCCAGTGCCTCGTGGGGCCATAAACCCCAACAACACGCGAAATTGCACCTGAACCAAAAGCGCAAGATCGAAACAATACAAAGGGAACCCTGCATAATCATCCTATCAACACTAAATTCTAATCCATAGAGTTCAGAGGGCAATCAAGCCGATCTTCATCCGACAGCTCCCGGCCCATGAGATGTTGCAAAGCGGCCCTCAACTGCGATTGGTGGAATTTCAAAGCAGTTGTGAACCTTTCGGGCACTAGGTACGGTTTGGGGTTTAGGGTTTAGGGTGGACAGTCCTAGCCCAATAGGAGGTATTGAGTCGCTGCTTTGCTTGCGTGAAGTAACACGTTACCTCACGAATTGGAACCTGCAAGATTTGAATATTGGGGCCTCCGATATGTTTACACCCCTAAACACGAACGTCCTCATCAATTGTGGGGGCTCCTGGTCCTAAAACGGGACTCTCTTGAAAAACCATATCTGGTTCAGAGTAGAAGTCTTGTCGAAGTCCTAGCTGCAGCGGCTGCTTGCAGTCAGCTGAGCGTCTGGCGATTCGGAGGGTATGCCCGCATATCCCAATGCCAGCCAATAGCCGCCTTCAATTGCAATCTCTTCGTTGCCGTGTATGTTTAAAAAAAGACCCACATCAACGCCACAGACAGATCATAGTTCTGATGCCTTTCCATCAGGCAGGTAGAAAGCCAAGGTATTGTCCGGATTCTGGACCAGTATCTGGACATTGTCGAGCCGTATCACGGCTGCTAACAGTGTTGGGTGCATGAGAAATTTGTGGGTTGCAGCTAGGATCTACCCAAGGCTCCAATGTAGTTCCTATATGAACTTGATATGTTTTATCGTAAGGGGTTGTAATATACTAATGGTGGGTTCTGATTTTAAGCCTCCCCTCCCGCCCCCCCCCACCAAACAAGTACGGACCTGAATAATCCGGGAGATCCCAGAAGAACCCATAAACCCTAAACACTACGCCCTAAGCCCTCTGGCCTAAGGCTTGGGATATATTTGTAATTAAATATAAATAAACCCTTTCCCCCGAATATTAAAACCCACCCTAATATGTAGAATTTTAATTGAATTTCAATTGATTTGAAGCTAGCGCTCTAACAGGACCCCCTTTTTATTATTCCGTTCACGCCTGATTTAGCTCTAATACGACCCCCTTTTGTAATCCGGCCCCTACATTACGCAAGAAAGACCTACATAGGAGGGTCTGGGAAGGCTTGAGGTTTGTTGTCACGGAGCAGCTGAACATAAAAGGCAGGGTTTAGTCACCAGCAGATTTTTTTGTTTTCTGCCCCATGCTTTGTCCAGAATCCAGACTAAGCCCGCGATGCTTTCAAAGCTGTTGTAGATTTGGTGATCCAGGACCTGGAGTCACCAACTATCCTTCCCAAAGCAGAATCAATATGTACGCCTTTGAACCGCCAAATAAAATATCTCTAAGGGCAACTCTCCCCCCAATTTTACGACACCTCATGTGAGGCATTTGGACCGAATCATGGAGCGAATGGACCGCATCGAGCCGCACTTGCCATACATCTTGCTGCACCTGGAAGCTGGAAGGCAATGGAGTACTTCTCTCCTCACATTAAACAACCCTCCCCACCCCCTACTATTAAGTAGTCCCTTTTGTGGGATCTTATACTATACTGGAAAAGTTTAGTGTTAGAGGATACCGAACATAGATACAAATTCTTTACTGCTGGGTGCTCGTCTACGTACTCCAAGCTAATTCTATACAGAACGTGTTTTAAAACGGTTTAGGGTTTAGGGGTTTAGGGTTGTAGGGGTTTGGGGTTTACAGTTCCGTACTCCAGCCCAGGACGTGTTGGCAAAGCACTGCGGCCCACTACTGGACCATTTTGACCTTCTCATGCCCTACGCAGAGTTAGGCTGCTTGAGACGGTTTAGGGCTTAACCTCCCCCAAACTCCCTAAATCCTGAACCTTCGGGCTACGCCGTGGGCAATCTATATGAGCTGTAGTCTACACCCCTTAAACGGGTTATAGAAGGGATTATATAGGGGACTACTATAGGGCCTATTAATTTAAGGGGGGATACTAGGAATTTTGGAAGCATTTTTAGTGGGTTTCATGTTCGTTTGGGGCAGGGAAGACTTGAGCTTTCAGAGTTGCAGGCTCCCGGCATAGGGCTCGCGTGTTAGTTTAGAGCATAGGTTTAGGGTTCGGGGTGCAGGGGTTTAGGGTTTAGGGTTTAGGCTTGGACAACACATCATTGGGCCCCGGGTCCACGGCCGAATTTGGAAGTTCGTGCAGCTCTGGCAATGACATGTAGATTTCACAGCCAAATTCAGTTTTCAAAATATATGTAGTTTTTCAATACTAGGGGTGCGGTTTTGGGCAATGCGAGTATGTAAGTCGCATTGTACCCCGAACCCTTGGTTCCTTGCCAAGCCATGCTGAGTTTCTCCAAATCCAAAGTCTTCATCCAAAGGGATGTACTTATAGTGAAGAAAATCCGTTTGCAATCCTAATGTCAGACTCACTATCGTTCATATATATATATAGATATATAGATATATATTATGCAGAGGTACCTCTGTTTGGAGAAATCCCTGGATGGCAAGCAGAAGTTCACTACAGTGACATTCTCGGGAGTTTTGGAAGTGAGTGCAGGAGCATGTCGAAGTTGCAGTGGCGATGCAGATCCCGCCTGTGCTTGTCCACCTCACACTGTTGTAGACCCATGATTTTTGTACCCCCCCCCCTCCTTTTAAGGGCCTACTACTAGGATCCCTATAGTCCCTATTAAGGGGAGGGGGTTTATTAATCCGGGGTCTACATTAAGCTTCACGTAATGTTGCAGGGGAACTTTATGATCTCCCTCACAATCCCACCACACCCCTGAATTCCCTAAGGTCATTACCCTAGTTTTGAACGACTTTCAAGAGGTCGGGAGCGTCCGCCGGTTGATTTGGAGCAGTGCTTCGATGAGCCTCAAATTGGAAAGGTGGAGGAGAAGGGTTTAGGGCTTGAGCCCTAAACCCTAAACCTAATGTACCTGCCAAAATCAGAGTTGCATCTGGGTGCCCCTCGAAACTTGATACTCCAGATGGGCTGTAACTTTGACAACAACCCTAGTGTTCTTTTGGTATTGCTTGGCTACTTCTAGTTTTAAGCCTGTGAGGTTCCCTCGACACATATTCCTAGTACACGAGTTTTTAGGAGGGGATTGCCTACAGCGTCACCATAATGTTAACACGTTGTTGGTCCTGTTGTTTTCAAGATCACTCAAGTCCTCAGTCCTTCCCCGCAGTGATTACGTGGCTTGTGATAAGGTTTCCAACGTTTATACTCTTGCTGTTTTTGTGGGTTCTTCAGTTCAGAAGTAGATCATGTCAAAGAACTTTCATTCTGATAGATTCTTTCCCTTAGGAAACTAGAAAATGCCATTGGCCAAAACAATTTAACATCAAACGCCCCAAAATGCGCCGAAATTGCCCCAAAGCGTCTCAATGAAGCACTTCAACTTAACCATGGTTGGGGAGGAAAACGTTCAACCTACCACCAGGATATGGCCTGTATTTCCCCATAGTTACCTGTATGGAGAACGCTTTTGTTCTGTAAAATGGTTAGCTTCGACTCCCAACACCAGAACAACCGCTATAATCGCGCTTTCCATTTCATGTTCCAGTTACTTTTCCATGTGACTATCCGTTTTGGGCGTACAGTCCCCTACACCGTAATCCCTAAACCCTACACCCTAAACCCCAAACCCTACTCGTGCGATGCAGGAGTGCCTTGTGGACAACCTCTTGGAGAGCTGGCAAGGCAGCCGTCTAGACTAATCAGTGGCGTTTATAAGGTTTAGGGTTTAGGGTCTATAGTGCCCCTAAAGTACAAAGAATATGGGGTACTTGGGGGTCTTATTCTAATGTACTCAAAGCCACATTCTATCTACTTAAGGGGGACTATAAGTTTTTGGGCTCAGATTTTCAGGGTTTGGAGGTTGGGGCTTTGGGGTTTTGGGTTTAGGGTTTGGGTTGGGAGCTTACTCACGAATGAAAGGGCAGTCATGCTTGCTGATTTGGTGAGTGTACAAGCCCAGATGCGACAAAGGGCTTTGTCCCAGCATTGCAGGAAACGCAGCTGCGCGAGTGGAGGAGCAGCGGATTAAAGAAGTACTGTAGGGGCGTAAATGGTTGCCAGCATTGTGTTTTTACCTTCCTTGTATGATTGTGGTATTGGGTATCCCGTCAACCTCAAAATCATGTCAATGATTTTTGAGGCTGGTCACTATACACCACCAAGTAAACCAGGTTCCATGTCATTCCCCATGGTCTTTTCTATTTGATTCTTCCTTGTTGGGGGTGATCTTCCTAAATACTTAACCCCCATGATTCCGATAGGGACTCATCCTTGTATCTCTCTTGCGCAACGCCGCGGCAGGAAAAGTAGTGACTCTGGATCCGAAAGGGGACTTTCTGCCCATTAACCCTAAGCTCTGAGCCCTAAAAACCCTAAGCCCTAAACCCTAAACCCCTGGGCCCTTAACCCTAGGCCCTAAACCCCTAAACCCTAAATCCAAGTAGGGAGCTCTTAGGGACTCCTGGGATGTAGGGCGGGCCCTACTCAGGATTAGGGTTTAGGGTTCAGGGATGAATTTCATTACGAATCTCCCATATGATCTGACTTCCTTCTATGAACCTCAACAGCCGCCTGACCGAATTTCTTCCAAAAAAATCATCCACCCCTAAACCCTAGATTATTCTCCAAATACATCTTTCCAGCGAACTCTTACTTGCCCCGCCCTGAGTGCTGAACCTGGAATCTAGACCTGAGCCATCTACTCCGGCAGACTCCTATCTACAGCCTAAGCCGAAACTACAGGAGCATTCCTACTAATCTTAAAGCTCGTTTTCTGCAGCATAGGTCCCAAAGCCAAGCTCCAGGACAACGCATAGCTTAAAACAGATGTGTGTATGCACATAAGCTTGGAAAGCAGGTGTCCCAAACCCGAACTAAAAAGTACATGTTTCATTAATCGTAAAGCCCCGCCCTAAACACTAAACCCTAAACTAAAATCCAGGAGAACTCCTACTTACCCAAGCTCCTCCCTTACGTGGACTTCCTGGTCCCACGCCTTGACACACTTGCTCCGCACCTGCCACTGGCGCATCCGCTGCCTGGCGTAGACTTACTGACCTCCCTCAACAATTAGGGTTGAGGGTTTAGTGAGTGTTTAGGCCTTCTCATTTTGGAAGCCCGCATATCAAGCGAACATCTTTCAAGCCAGGTCCGCAGCCAGAGAAACAGAGCTAGACCATGTGAGCTATAGTCTAAACTCCTTAAAGGGAGGTGATATAGGGGACTGTATAGGGTACTACTATAGGGGTTATTAAGAAGGGTTCTAGGAGTTTAGACAATGGCTCAGTTGTAAACCAGAGTGTTTAGGGTTGGGGTTCAGGGTTTAAAGTTTAGGGTTTGGGGCTCCGGGTTGAAGATTTGGGGTTTGGAAATTATTCGGGTGTAGGTTGGGTACTGCCCCC